AGCAGCAAGATGAACTCACCAGTGAGAGAGAAGGCAAGCGGCAAAAGAAGCCTGGCGTTCTCCTCTGCCTTGGCCTTTTATACTGGCTTCCATCAGAAGGTAACACCCGCATTTAGGGTGTGTCTTCCGGCTTTAGATGATCCAATCAAAAAGATCTCTTTATTTCAGTTAATCCCAGATCCAATCAAGTTGACACCCAGGATTAGCCATCACACTCACCTGTGTTCATCTGTCTTTCATGAAATATAGACATTCCTGTCTTCTTGTGGATGAGAATATCTTTACTTCTTTTGCTGTGTATAGTATTCCTTTAAAAAGAGTTTTTCAGGGGTTAGAGATGACTCAGCAGTTAAAAGTACTGATTGCTCTTTCAGAGGACCTGGGTTTAATTCCCAGTACTCACATGGCGGCTAACAACCGTAACTCCCATTCCTGGGATCCAGTGCCCTCTTCTGACCTTTGTGGGTATGGCATGTACACCTACCTACATGCAGGCAATACACACATACACATAAAATAAAAGTAGTAAATAAAAAGGAATTTCCTGTAGTGCTGGTTTGGTTGTCATGAATTTCCTTAATTTGTGCCTGTATAGAAATATTTTTATTTCTTCATCTCAATTTTAAAAGACAGCTTTGTAAAGTATATCAGTCTTGGTTTAATTCTTTGAGAATTTCATACAATATATTTTGATCGTATTCCTCTCCTCCCCAACTCTTCCCCAGATCCATCCCCACCTCCTTAGCCCCTGAACTTCATGTTCTTTTTATTTTCATCTGGAGTCCAATTTTTGTTGTTCAAATACTCTTGGGTTTGGAACCTGCCCTGGAATGTGGTAGACCTACCAAGGGTCACAGTCTTAAAGGAATTGACTCTTCCTCTCCCAGCAGCTATAAAATGCCAATAGCTCCTCAACTAGAGGTGAGACTTCATGCCCACCTCTCTTGTCTCCATGCTGGGATTTTGCTTGGCTGGAGCTTGAGCAGGTCTTGTGTATGCTGTCACAAATTGCTGTGAGTTCATATGTACAACTGTTTTACTATCTGAAAAACAGTTTCCTTGTGGTTGTTCACTATCTCTGGCCCTTAGAATCTTTCCATTCTCTCTTCTATCTTAGCCTCCCAAGTAGCTGTGATTACAGACTCGTGTTCACTGCACCCAGTCCCAAAACATAGTCTCAATAACAAATGAAACAGTGCCTGGTATATTTAAGCCATCTGACAGCTTGACAGCAATATACAAAGAAAAAAATCCTGTTAAAAAAATCCTGAATTAGAAGTCCATTTTCATTCTGTTATGATTACAAATGTAAATATTTGAAAAGGTTAACATATCCATCTTTGAATTCTTAGAACGTAACAGTCTTGATAGTCATAGGTTGGTGATGATTAAATATAATGTGTATATTTGTACAATTCTTGCTCATTTTGGATTATTGTCTACTGAGGGAAAAGGAATCATTTCTGTAACAACAATTTTCCTTCATTTGTGTTTTCTGTTAAGCAATACCTTTCTGTAATTTTATTTTTTAGAATTACAAGATGAAAAGTTAAAAGAATTAAATGAAAAGAAGGATCATTTGACATCAGAAGTTGAAGATATTAAAATGTCTTTACAGAGAAGTGTGGTATGATTTAAAAAACTGACTAGTTTATAGTATATCTTACATAATCAGTCAGCAGATATTTACTGGATACTACTAATATATATAAGGACCCAGAAATTCAAACAGAGAAGAAACAATCCTAGTCTAAAAAAATGTTTTTATGTAGAGTTATTGGATAAAAACATCTAAGTACTAATAGAATGATTTAGGCTAATAAATTGTTACAAGTATTATAAGAATTGAGAGAACTGTATGGGCTGAACTGACTAGGAAAGCTCCTTGGAGGAATTAGTATTATAGAGAATGGGGACCTGAAATAAGGTTAGTGGGTGGGTTTTCCAGGATACTAAGGAGGGATACAAGGAAGGAGGAAGTACAGAGGGCACGAGGACAAGAAAATGTACAGAAGCAGGTAACTTAAGTCTTTATAAAATTTTAGGTCTTTGGATCATTCTTTCTGTTTTGTACTTCATTAGAGCACTGAAAAGGCTTTAGAAGAAGATTTGCAGATAGCAACAAAAATGATTGATCAGCTCTCTGAAGAAAAAGAAGCTCAAATGAAAGAATTTAACAAAGCTAAAGATGCTCATTCTTTTGTGGTTACTGAACATAAAACCACTATCTGCACCTTGGAGGAATTATTGAGAACAGACCAGCAAAGGTGAAATGTTTCTTATTTATATAAATAAGTAAATAAAACAATTTTGATACTCAAAACTATATAAAAGCAGGTATTCTCTAGAATAGTTTCTATGCATGCTTTGTCATGGAGTCAAGCTATATAGATAAATTTTTAAGTGCTGATTCAGTGATACAACATATTGATATAGGGGATTAGTATTTGCTTCCTAAGAATAATTTTCCAACTGAAGAATTTTTTACTTACATCTGTAACCTTTTATAAACTTAGCAACTATCTTAGGGCAGAGTAAATATTATTTTCTATGGGATAAATTATTCATTTACTTTTACCCTAAATAGGTTTTTGTTTAAAATTTGAATGTTAAGAACTGGCTCTTTTTTATTTACTTTATGCATTTTTCATATAAAAGTATGGTGAGGCCTAGGTAATTATTTTTGCCTTTTTACCACTGTGGTTAAGTTTGGCAGGTTAAACGAGAGGAACAAATTTCTCCTCCAAGTTATATCCTGGGTCTGCTAATTTCTCTCCGCTGCTGTGCATAGTGATGTAAGAAAAATAGTTTTTCTAATTTCTCTAATCTTACATATTTTGGATTGATCTATAAAAGACAGTTTTCAAATATTAAAATTGTGAGTTACCTTAGATTCATCTGTTCCTATTACCTTGGTTTAAAATTTATTATATTCATTCATTCATTCATTCATTCATTCATGCAGCATGCCCCGTGTGTGCGTGTTCATGTGTGTGTGCACATGTACTTGTGTAGAGGTCAGAAGACAAATTGTATGAGTAGGTTCTCTTCTGGGGGTTGAACTCAGGTTGTCAGGCTTGGCAAACAAGCACCCTAACCCCGTGAGTCATCTTACTGGCCTCTAAATTATCTTAGTTTAAAAATAAAATTATTATTTTATGTGTATGCATGTATTGCTTGCATGTATGGAAGTGCATCCATATCATGCAATTATCTTATTTTTTAAGAAAATGTATTTTTAATTTTATGTGTGTGAGTGTTTTTCGTGAATGCATGTAAGTATACCCATGTCGTGCAGTGCCTATGGAGACCAGAAAAGGGCATTGGATCCCTTGGAACTGGAGGTGGACAGTTGTTAACACTGTGTGGTTGGTGGGATCTGAACCTAGTTCCTCTTCAAGAGCAACCAGTGCTCTTAACCACTGAGCCATCTTTTACCTTAGGGTCAGGAAAAGAAAATCAGAGAAGCCAATAAAATGATAAAATGTTATTTTATTTGTATTGCTTTTAAAGAAGAATTTGGTATAATAGCAAATTACATATTCATTAATCATTAATTTGATTACCATCAATAGTTAAGATAATAGAGATAAAGCCTTAAGGTTTTAGGGAGATATAATATTACACAATTTATATTTATCATAATCTCTTGTTTTAAAATGTTTATACAGAGTAGATATTCAACAACTGTTTAGTAATTGAGTGAATTTATGTTAAGATACATAATTGATACTTTGTGACATTTTAATTATTAGATGAATTCTGACAAAAATATTTTGTATTTTAAAATTAAATATCTTTCAAGATTGGTAAAAAGTGAAGATCAACTGAAAATACTTACCGTGGAGCTTCAGAAGACATCAAGTGAACTGGGTAAGATTTAGAGAATAAAATGTACACTTTGATAACATTAGCTAATTATAAATCATAATTAAATATAGAATAAATATTAAGAAAGGCAATTTAATTTCTTTAAAAATTTTTAGTTATTTTAATTTTATGTGTATGAGTATATTGCCTGCATGTATGTAAGTGCACTCGTGTCATGTAGTACCTGTGGAAGTCAAAAGAGGGCATTGGATTCCCCTGGAACTAGAGTTACAGACAATTGTTAACTGCCATGTGAATGCTGGGAATTGAACCTGGGTCCTCCAAAGATCAGCCCACAGTGCTCTTAACCCCTGAGCATCTCTCTAGCCCCACAATTTAATTTCTTTATTGTAGTTTATAGATGTCCAGAAACCTGAGATGTTTGTATCCTCCTTATTTTAGGATTCAGAAGCCTGTATAATCCTTAGTGGAACTGTTTGTTATATTTTAATTGAAAAAAAATGGTTTTAAGAAAGGATTTTGCTTTGTAGCTCAGGTTGGTCTTGATCTCTTGCTTTTTTTTGCTTCATCCTTCTGAGTGTTGGGATTACATGTATGCACCACTATATCTGGACTGATTATTTTTTTCTTTGGATTTTTGAGACAGTCTTTCTATGTAGCTCTGATTGACGCAGAGCTCTATGTAGACAAGGCTACTCTTGAACTTGCAGCAATCTTCCTCTCTCTGTCTCCCAACTGCTAGGATATAGGTGTGCACCCCCACACCTAGCTTATGACTGAACCTTAATTGAATTTGTAGACTTCATTGCTTAGTGGTGTTGGATTATGAACTCTTTTTAGGAAAAAGTGATCCTATCTTTTCATATAGTAATACTGTTAATTTTCAAGAATGTCCATGGACAAAACAGAAGTTCTATAATTTTGTGAATATATTTTTATTTATTTTTATTTTTTATTTTTTGAGACAGGGTCTCCTTGTAGCCCCAGCTGGCCTGGAACTCACTCTGTAGACCAGGCTGGCCTTCATCTCATAGAGATCTGCCTGCCTCTGCCTCCTTAGTGCTAGGATTAAAGGCATGTGCCACCATCCCTGGCTAATTTTGTGAATTTATGACTATGTAGTTAGCTCATTATAATCATCTACATTTCGTGTTTATTAGCCTGAATATCTGCAAATGTAGACAGTTACAAAGAAAAAAACATATTTTTTTCTGTTTCAATAAAAATTATTTCAATAGGCTAAGATTTCTGAATTGATAGGTAATTTTCTAGATTATCTTCATAATTTTGTGTAACTTTATTAGCTTGAATACTTGTACAAGTAAAATACTTATAAGTACTATTGTCTGGATTGTCTAGTATTTGAAGTGTTTGCTTAACATTTCAAAAGTAGGCTGTTTAGTTAAATTCTTTATTTTTTTAAAAATATTTTATTATTTTTATTTATGTGTATGAGTGCATTACCAGCATTAGTGTAAGTGAACTCATGTTGTGCAGTGCCTGAGGAGGTCAGAAGAGGGTGGTGGATCCCCTAGAACTGGAGTTACAGACGGTTGTTAGCTGCCATGTGGGTACTGGGAATTGAACTTGGGTCTTCTGCAAGAGCAGTTCTCTTAACCATTGAACTATCTCTTCAGCCCTGGTTAAATTCTTTTTTAAAAAATGTTTTTGTAAGCATATATTAATTATACATAATAATGAGTTTCATCATGACATTTTCACAAACATATATAATGTTCTTTGTTCATATTCACCCTCATTTCCCTTTCTTGTGTCCCTCTCATTCCTGATAATTCTCTCCCTATTCCCAATTAGTCCCCTTCTACTTTCATGTCTTTGCATGCATGTGGGTAAGTTTATGAGTGTAAGACTGTTTTACAAGAGCTTGTGTACCTTACCAGTGGCTCTACCACTGTAGAAAAAGTTTGTTCTTCTACAATTAGGTTTGGGTGAATTCTTAAACTATATGGTTTTCCTTTTGCAATACTTAATTTCCTACTGTAGAATGTTTGATCACTCAAAGTTGCACTGTCCAAATTTTAAAAAAAAGTTTTACTTTTTATGGCCCTGATTAAATTAAAATATAATAGTTTAAAATGTCTTATCTAATTTTAATAATTTCCTTCAAGCATAAAGTTCTATTTTAAAGTCACTATACCTACTTTCTTTAAAGTTAATGTTTTATAGTAGATAAGGAATAATTTTAGTCCTTAAAATGACTTTAATGATAATTTGAAAAAATTCAGTTTATCATTAAAATTGACTTATTTATCATACTGTAAATTCATTTTTTATGTGATTTTCTCAGAGTATTATGAGAAGTTTGAATAAGGAATTTGAGAATTGTGAAGCAGTATTATGTGTGCTTTTTAGCATTATCTTAGATGTGGGAACACATGAAAGTAAAACACTGTGATCTTGAGAAATCTTTAATTATTATGAGAGAAAGGTTAAACATATAAAACCATTAGCGTAATGGTGTTCAAAATGAGGGAGTGAGCAAGGATTACATTAGAGTAATGAAAGAAAATATGAGCTTCTATTTTTTGTTTCATTATGTATATTCTTAATAATGTATCTTTCTATTACAACTTTGTATATAATTTAAAT